ACCCGCCGTTCTTCTCAACCAGTCGCTTCCAGGCGGTCTCTAGTGTCTTTTTGTGCTCCTCGTCTTGCACCTTACGGAGTAGTTGTCGCATGCGCTCCTCAATACCCATGGCCCCGAGGAAATCGCCCTGCTCAACAGGACCGTGGACCTCGACGCCATCACTGCCCTCGAGGGCCGCTTCAGCTAGCGAAGTGAAATCCACATCCGCGCTGACATCCACTCGGCCCGGTTCTGAGAGCGGCGCTACTTTCTCATGGCTTTTGATTCCGCGCAGCGAATTGATAGGAATGGTCGACAATGTCCCATAGTCCATGATCAGAGCTGCGCCAGACGGAGTCTTCTTTGATGACGGAGGCGGGCTAGAAGTAGAGGTCTTTTTAGCAGTAAGCGCAGAAGCAGAATCACCACCGATACGGCGCGCAAAGTCCGCAGCGTAGATTCGGCTCTCAGGGCTGATCTCGATGGTCGAGCCTGGCCGCGACTTAAGTGCTCGGTAACGCTGAGAGATCTCCGGAATCACTAGCGACGACGGCGTGGAAGCTTTGGCTTTGGTTAATTGGAACTCGGGCTCTCCTTTTATGTTCTCTTCGACAGCTTTTGGATTTAATGTCACCATTAGCTCACGCCATTGCGGGGTGTTCGCGTGTTTAGGAGGATTGTGTAGTTCTGCTGGGCCGGTGGGAGTCATGATCTTTCGTGGCTCATTGGCCTGCTGGTTCTCTGGGGATGGCGGAACAGATTCGAATGCATGGATTGGAAGTGCGTCGAAGAATTCATGTGCGAAGATGAAGGGTGTCTTGCCTTCCTCTGTATTGTCGATATCATTGGTCAGCATCAGACGTACGGGCAACTGACTTAGAATCATCACTCACCATGTGGCAGAAGGCGAATATCCTCCACCCAGACGATAGGCACGTCAAAATACTTGCACACACTCCGGTGTCCGATGTCCGTCTCCTCCATCACAGCCTCCTCGCCGCACAGCAGTTGCTTCTGAACTTCTCTGAGGGTTCCACTAGCTTCCACGAGGTAAATAGCTTCAACACTTGAAGAAAAGCTCTTAAAATTTCGAAAAGTCTGTTGGTTATAGAAATGGTGGTCAGTCCAATGACCCTCTTGTCTCTTTTCATAAATGGAAGACAGGCATAAATGCAACCACTCACCCGCAGCATATCGTCCATCAAAGTTCCTTTCCCTGGGCCAACCTCCATCAGCTGAACACCACTTCTTGTCCGGCCCTGTGCCATCCACTCCGCGATAGTCCATATACCGATCAACTCTCCAAAGACCTGCGAGATCTCGGGCGAGGTGACGAAATCACCACTTTTGCCAAAGACACCTCCGCCCTCCCCTCTAGTTGTATAATATCCACCATCAGGAGAAGTCAAAACCTGGCGCATGAACGCCGCGATTGGTACGGGACCAGTGACCTAATTTCCAGAAGTGAAAGATCAGCAAAAATGCAGTGAGAGGCAAAGCGAAGTGCATAGCTACCTTCATGACATTGGCCAATGTTTTCGCCAGCGGAGTGGACCATTCTCTCTGTTCAAATGTGGAGTTCCATCTTCCTGGGCATCTTGGAAGTACTGTGTTGCGAGGTCTGCGGAGGATATGCGACACCACGCGCCTCGTGGTTTGGTTCATTCTTGCCTCGGAGCTGAGTGACGTAAATTGTTTGTATCGTCAGATATGCAATAATGGAGCTTTTTGCGGTGGGCTAACAAAATGTCCGGACCCCAAACACGTACTATGCGTCGCGCCAAGTCGAGATGTTTCTTTCAATCTCTCCGCGGAAGCTCCGCTACACGTGATCATATACTTATCGGATTGTTATCGGCCGCTAGTCCCAAGATGGTATAGTCGTAAATCCGAAGCCCTAAAGACTACAGATCAAGGAATACGGGAATGGTTTAGGTAGCTGTTGCTACTAGCAATATATAGTATACTAGATTATTCAATATACTAGCAGCTATAAAGTCTCAGCAGTTATTAGTATTATGCGCTGATCCAATCTAATGCAATCCATCTGGCACTCCACGAGGACAAGCAAAGGACCGACTGACTCTATCTCTAAGCTTGTCGGAAGACCTGTCCATGTCCTTATAGATGGTTTGGTGTTCCCAAATTTCTCCAATGAGGGTCACATTAGGTTGACGCCGTATAGTCACGCTGAAGCGGAAATTGTTTTCATACATTTTTGTCATTTATTAAACACATTATATTGGATAAGATTAACAGCCTTCTGATGGAATGATTCAATTAGAGACTCGGACATGGCTATTTTCAGAGTCTATAACTATAGTACACTGGGTCCGCCATTGTCACCGTCTTCATTTCTTATGATTCCATGTTCATGTCGTCGTAAGATGCCTAGCCTAATTTATCTAGTTTAGTTGGGGGTTTCGACAAAGTTGTAGGCGTGTAAAGAACAATCAATAGCTGGTAAGCCTGTTTAGGAAATAGTTGTTAGCTCCAGGGCTTATATTGTTTGTCCCGGGTTTTCTCTTTTTCTCTTCTTGGACTCTAGTACCCTACATTGAGGAGAACGGCGTCCCGGCCTCGAAATACCTACGCTCCCACGAAGTAGTAAACCCTGCTCCCGGACAATGGGTTCGAGTGTTACCACACAACTTTGCCATTTATTGAACACAAGAATAATGGGCCGCGTTTGCGGCCTTATGACGTCTTTTTTTGGGGTCTTCTAAAGGTCTTTTTTAGATGGCCCCCTTAACAACCTCGTTAGATGTTCTCAAAGGTTAATGGCTTCGTATATCCACCAAATAGTATTTTTTGATCGTAATGCGAATTCTCTTTGTGTAAGTGGTGGCTTAAAGAGATTCCGGATGACAGATAAAGAAATAAACCACAGTGCAGTGGGGACAGTCGGAGGAATCAAAGAATGAAACAAGACACGCTGTAAATTTCAGTATCAAGTCACTCAAAAAAGAAAAAAAAGAAAAGTAGCTCTGCTGCTTCTGACTTCATTACGTCTCAAGAAAAGTAATTGGCTGCTATCTATAGCACAGCCTTTTCTTTGTCTTTGAAGACTTTGAAGAGCTTCGCACTTTCTTTCTTGCTTCACGTTCTATCGTTGCTACCCTCGGCTTAAAGCATTTATTTGTCTTTTTGCTCTCGCTTGTATGTCAATGAGCCTCGACTTCGTGTTAAAGTCCACGAGTTTTGTCTGTTTTGTGCTGAGGTCTCGAGTCTACCGAGTTTGTCTTTGTTTGATGATAGACGAAAGTTGATACCTCGAGTTGTAAAAGCCGTAAGCTCTTCAAAAAGTAATATTTCTCTCTTCCGGATCCCTCGTCTTAGTTGGTGTCAGTCCACAACGTTTTCCAATTCCCCCTCTTCATCAATAACTGAATATAATGTTGATTCAAAATGCCCACCACTCGTCAGAAAAGAAAAGCCGATGAGGTCCTTCTGCCTGGTCTTCCCGAAGAAAGGCGCCCTAGGAGTGAAAAGGGTGCTGATTCTACCTCCAGACGTTAGCCCGCTGCAAAAAAAAAAGGGGAAAAAGGTATTGTATCCCCATGTCCCTTGTATCATGGAAATGTCTTACAAATGGTTGTTTGAAAAGAAGCAAGATCCAAATTTGCCCTACGTTGCACTTTCAAACAACCTCCTTAGGCGTGGGGATGAGCTACTCCTTCCTGAACCCCCGGCAACACATGGTCATATTCTCGATCTCTGAAGAAGGTCCAAACGAGTATGAAGACAATGGGTATATCTAACCTGCACACAGCTCTAACGTTGACTTACTAGGTGGACATCTACAAACCGGAACCGATGAATCTGTTCCTCACTTTGCCCCAGGCTATTTGGGGACATGCCATGCATCATGTAAGACTTCCCGGGCGAAAAGAAACGAGAATGAATGCTAACATGAGACAGTTTACGGTATCGATCCGGAATCCTACTACTTGGAACACAAATACCTAGGCACATATCATGCACTTTAGTGTTCTAGAGGAGTCTAGTACTTCGGCAATGAAGATATTCTAAGAAGATCGGCTCTACCTTGAAGGCATGGGTGGCGCCTCCCTGCCTGTCACTAGTACAACAAATATTATATGTCCACGGCAGGTGGTGAGGTCCCGGTGGATAATGTAGTATTGCAAGTCAAGATGTTCCACAATGGTCAGGTTATGCTCCCCCGGTGGATTAAGGTTCGAGCATGTATAGCCCGTCAACCCCCCAATACTCCGGTGGGTGTACGGCTGTCTGGTATCTGGCTTCACCATATGCTATATTGTTTGAGTGCACCTGATAACACTGGGAATATGCATGTGGGAACTGATCTCCCTGAAACTTTGGCAAATCTACCCCCTTGCAACTCTGCACTCGCAAACCACCCACTAGTCATATATAACATTTGATCAAACCACTCTTCTCGGGCATATTTGACAATGCATGGGCACTTGGAGATCGATTGCTGGTTATATATTCATATGTTACTCGGTTATACTTGCGTTTTAGTTTAGTTTTAGTTTCTGTTTGTTTTCGTCATTCGCTTTGGTGTATATTGAGCTCCAGCTGTGTCAAGTCCTAGTGCTTTTTGAATGTGTGAGAGGTGACTCGGTGTATATCTCGTTTACTGTTTCCATTGGTATTGCAAGGATTAAATGCCATAAGGCTTGAGTTGGTACCTATAATTTCACTTCTTTCCTTTTGACTTAGGAGTAAATAAGCAACTAGCGAAGGAGGGATAGGTAATACCGTAGCCCTGCTACGGATTGATCTGCATGCTAAAGAAAAATCCTTAATAAAACATTAATATTCTGTCCGATTTGTCCCGTTCGCCTCTATCCGTTGCAAAAAGTGTGCTCCGAATGCTAAAAAAATGTCCATAAACTGCTGTGACCATATCATACATTTCATGAGAGTGCAAGAAGAAGCATGATCCCCACGATCATTTCGCGCAGTGCATACTATGTACTCCTTACACCAACAACGCTAGCCAACCTCAATTTCCCATGCTCAAACTTGGATATTTAACGACGCCATTTCCGTTGGTTCTGGTTCTTCTGGGTATTCCGCGCCGGCGCATCGACCATCATTTCATCGCTGTAGAGGCCAGTCTGCGAGTTTCCTTTGTTCTCAGATAGCAAGTCGTTCACATGGCCTGGGCCACGACGGGCTCGGAGTCGTTCCTGATCGGCTTGTGCTCGGAGGGCGGTAAAAGGATCTTGGTGGGTTGTGGCCCTCGCCGATTTAAGAGTCATTGTAAGAAGTCTCCCGTCAGCCTAGAGTGTGTCAGCATCTATCTTGCGATATCATTAGACAGGAACGGCATTTACCCTCTGATTGTGGAAATTGGCAACCACCAGCTCTGCAGCCGTCTTCTCCGCATATGCAAATTCCGCAACAACACTTGGCTGGCTTGCTACTATCTGGCAGCTGATCATTGGGCCTGTTATGGGCTCAAGGGCAGACTGGATATCGGCAGCTGTTGTCCCAGGCGCAAAGTTCCTTCCGACAACAATGAATGGGCCCGAGGCACCCTTAATGGTCATGTTGCTGCCACCGGATAGACGGCTGCTTTGTGCGAAGTTGCCTGATCGGGCGTTCACTTGGCCATTTTCGGGTTGGAAAGCTGCCCGAACCTGATCCGCATTCACGCGATCTTTCTTGCCAGCTTTGCCGCGTGTCCGACTGTTGTTCGTGGGCGCAGGCTTGTTCTTGTTGGGTTGCACAGTCGCTGACGCGGAGCGCTAAATTTCGACGCGAGAAATTGTCAGAGATTTTTCTCCATTGGTGGTCGCATTGATGGTCTATGTTGGAATTGTTCATACCTTGGCTACTCCGATCCTGCTGGCTAAGCTTCCAGGCTTTGCATTTTGTGCTTTGTTCTGCGCTTTCTTCCCAGCACCAGCGCCCGAGCCTGGCGCGCTTGACCTGCGGTTCTTTCCAAGAAGTTGGTTTGCGAGGTCCTCTTGCTTCTTCTTTTGACGGTCTGTGGAGGAAAAACAGTCAGATCTTGCTAGGTGTCATGTCGGGTGGTTGGAGTGATTACCAGCCTGGATGATGGCGTCGAACGAGACGGGCTGTTTGGTCGCCATGGCAGAATGAATATAGATTAGACGAATTAAGAAAGGCAATTAAGAAGAGAAATAAGTCAGAATAAGTGAGGATACGTGACAATTGGTGGAGATGTTGAAGAAGAAAAGAAGCTCCGGGAGCCGATCAGCCTTGGGGGCCGAGCTATCAATTCTTATCCACAGCTAACTCCTTGATTATGCATAGCCACACATCTATAGCCATTGACGCCAAGGTTGTTTCTACGTTTCTACGTTTCTACGTTATTCTATTCTAGGAATTCCCCCTAAATATGTATTGAAATCTACCTGATTAAAAACCACAAGGGCGCCTGAAACTGAATGTGAAGGCGAGAGGCACGGAGCATATCTCCGAAGTAGATTATATATGTATTGTACAGTGTAGATGAACACAAATGCAGACAATAAAACATGATCTAGTATTGTTTACTCTTGTAATGTGAATAAAAAGCAGTTATCCCAATCGAAGAGTAAACCCAGCCCCTGCCTCACCGGTATCTCCACCCGGAGCACCTCCAAAGACACTCGCAAAGTCCAGCTCGGGTGCTTCCTGGCCTCGTTTAGGAGCCTCAGGCGTGCGATGACGTCTCCGCTTCTCCATGCCAGCCTTGGAGGGAAAGGTTGGGAACATCTCTCGCGGTTTGGGCCGTGGATCTTCCTTGAAATATCTGTGATCGAGGCACTGTCTTGCCGTAGGACGGGAGGCCGGATTCAGCGCCAGCAATCCTGACATAAGACCCAAACCCGCATTGGTCAGATAAGGAAATCGAGAACGAGGTAGTAGAGGCGGGTTGCCCGCCGAAGAAGGTGCCGATGTCGACGGGAGTCGCAAGCTCTTGGCGTTAGGCAATGAACGGAATCCAGGCCATGTTTCAGAGTTCGGTGGCCCCGTCAACGCGAAGATCTTGGACACCTGGTCGACTTCGTTCTTGCCTTGTAAGAGAGGCTCTTTGGTGAGCAGCTCGCCAAAGATACAGCCAATGCTCCACATGTCGATCTCCGTGCCGTACTTGTCGGCGCCGAGGAGCAGCTCCGGCGCTCGGTACCAGAGTGTCACAACCAGCTGGGTCAGCTTGGGAGGTGGATCGCCGAAGTAGCGGGCCATGCCAAAGTCGGCGATTTTGAGTTCGCCACGGTTGTTCATTAATAGATTGGAGGTCTTGAGGTCGCGATGCATGATCCACTGTGAATGTAGGAATTCGAGTCCCCCAACCACCTGTAGCAAGACGGTCTTGATCTCCGAAGGAAGGAAGGGCTCGCGCATCTCGTCGAGTAGGGCTTTCAGGTCGTGTTCGTGGAAATCCATCACTAGGAATACACTGTTGGAACCAATCGATTAGCATATGTAAATGATATAGAGTCGATCATGGGGAACTCACTCGTCCATTTTATTGCCCATGACTACTTCCCGCAGGTACACGACGTTTTGATGTCGCGCCTCCAGAAGTGTTTGGATTTCCCGAAGCCCAGTGACTGGGAACCCGTCCGGCGAGTTCTCCAGCTTCAGCTTCTTCAGCGCGACAATTTCTCCCGTGGAAATATCCTTTGCACGTGAAACCCATCCATACGAGCCCTCCTCAATGTGATTCAATCTTTCGAAGTTATCCACATGCCTGCAGGGGCCCCATTCTCCAGTCGGAAAGCGTAATAAGGTCGACTGGTTTCTCTGTTCCTTCTGGATATTCATCACTTCGGCATCTTTTGGATGGGCATCGGGTTCGTTGGAGAGTCTTCGTCGTTTTGTCGGGGGGCCTAGCTCGCCATTGGCTTGAGCATCCCGAGCTTGAGCATTGCTGGCATTTTCCAGTCGCTGCTTCTCTGCTTTAGCGCGTTTTTTCAGTTCTTTGTCGCGCTTTTGTTGCGCGATAATTGCCTCCGTTTCTGGGTCCTCATTTGCCCATCGGGATGACATTTTTCGTGGGGAAACGTTGAAAGGGAGAGAAGTTCGGGAATGACGTTTCGTCAGAAGCCGAGTTCCTTCGATTTGAAATCCAACGCCCCCACCTTGAATTTGTATAGCGCATTGCACGTTCTTTATTCTAACTCTTTGGACCTTTCTCCTTTGAGATATTATCTTTCTCTCTTCCTTCTACATCCTTCGCTTTTAGTTGTGCACATACTCCTATACTTCCCACCGCTTTTGGATCTACTGCTTCTTCCTCGCCATGATTGAACCATTCCAGGTCAGCCTATCTGAGCGCCTTGACTCACAAACACCCAATACTAATGCGGTTTTCGTGCCTAGACGACCTTCTCGGTCCCAATGACCTGTGAAGGCTGCGTGAAGTCTATCTCTAACTCTCTGCACAGCCTAGAAGGTAATCATTTCCCCGAAAACAGCCCAAACCCACCTTTATCAAGCTGACCCCGCGATAGGAATCAATAAGGTTGAAGCCAACCTTAAAGACCAGCTAGTCTTCATCGAAGGCACCGCCCCTCCCAGCTCCATCGTGACCGCTATCGAAAGCACCGGCCGCGATGCCATCCTGCGCGGCAGCGGAACTACAAACAGTACGGAATCCCCGGCTCCCAATGAGCATTCCACGCGACACACATGAGAAATGCCAACTGATAAACACCAAACAGGTTCCGCCGTCTGCATCCTCGAAACACACTCAACGAGCGTCTCAAACAATATCCGTGGACTCGCGCGCATGGTCCAGGTCTCCCCGAACATGACCCTTGTCGACCTAACAATCAACGGCCTTGCGCCAGGAAAATATTGGACAACTATTCGAGTAGCAGGAGATATCTCCCGGGGCGCCGAGTCCACCGGCGGTATCTGGGAGTCTCTGAAGACCAAGGTGCTTGGCGCCGACGCTGCCGCGCCGGCCAAGGAGTGCCGGGGCATTCTCGGTACTGTGGATGTTGACAATAAAGGCAAGGGCAGTGTGTTCTTGGATAGGCCTGTGGCCATTTGGGAGCTTATTGGTCGGAGTATGGTTGTTTCAAAGGGAACAGAGGGCCCTTTCAAACGTGAAGATGAGAATACCCTTGTTGGTGTTATTGCGCGCAGTGCGGGCGTGTGGGATAATGATAAGATGGTTTGTTCGTGTTCGGGTAAGAATGTCTGGCAGGAGAGACAGGAGCAGGTTGTCATGGGTATGGCTTAAATGAGTTCTGGTGTTGACTTTAGCAAAAGTGGTGTTGGATGTTGGTGATGATACCTACCACTCTTTGAACATGTAACCAGATCAATTACCAAGTGATATACGTAGCTTCAAATATGTGATACCACAAAGAATAAATGCGATGATGAATGATAAGGTGGTTTTGCTTTGCTTCAGTAAGGTATCACGCAAAGCTTGGAACAAAACGCTTGCATCGTGCCCATAAGCTGTATCTCTCCTTATTTGTGATGTTCTTTTACTATTGGAGTTCATTTGCTAACGTACCTGGATAGAGTCATAGATGGAGTACCTCTGTTCATAATTGAACTCTATCTTTGCGACTATATTTGTTCTAGGATAGGGTTTCACCCTCCGGTTGATCATATATTAAAATACATTAATACAAAGACCACAGAAGAGATCCATAGAAGAGGTCCATAGAAAGAACGTCAAAAAGAAGAACAAGCTAACGCTGTGAAACAATTATTCAGATTCTGCTAAGGGTGGGTAATAATACAATGTGGCCAAAGGGGGTCAGCGCTTGGCCATTTCCATGAAAAAGTATCAACGAAGAATTTCACCAAAACTGTCTTGGATGCACAATTCCAGGGTAAAACTCGTCGTCCGTATCATCTTCCACAAAGTCCATTCCTGCACCGGGAATGCCATCAGATATGAGCGGTAGGGACAGGATCCCCGGAGAGATCAGCCTAGTTAGTTGTTGCGGTGCTCTGGTATTATCACAGTTGCTGGTGGTATGCTGTGTAGATTTGACTGGTTGATTGCCTCCGTCGGGATACTGGCTGTTTATTTTGCCATCAACAAGGAAATACCCATTTCCATCCTCCACTGGGCTTGGGAAAAGAAGTTCAGAGTCGATGGGGGACAATGGGGACCATGTATCGTTCGTCATTGATTTTATTGAACTCATTTCAGTTGATGTGCGATCTCGCGATGTCGTATCAGCGGGTGTGGAGCGGCTTGAATAATCTTCGACACTTGATTGCTGTGTGGTTGCTCTTTCGGAGATAGACGACCATCTTTCGCCAAGGTTCCGGTTGGAGATGGACGTGAGGGGATTGTGATAAGAAAATGGTTGCATTTCTTCAGAATGGGTGATCGGGATTTGTGGGGGTACTAAAGGTATGAGACCTTCATCATCATCATATGGAGGCAGGTTGTTGTATGTATTGTCCTGAAGCACAATGCATTTGAGTGGGTTCTGGGAAGCGCACAGGGTTTCTTCTTGTTCATGGAGCCTGGGACTGTGTTCACTGAAATTGGGACTGTGACGGCCGAGGCTAGAAATGCGTTGACTTGGGCTGGAACTGTGTTGACTGGTGCGGGGACTTTGTGCACTGGGGTTGGGAGTGTGTTGACTAGGGCTGGGACTATCATGTTGTCTCGCCCACTGGCGCAGCGCCTCATGATAGATTGCTGGAAATGCAAATCGAACTTCGGCGGAGCACTGTCTCGAGATGGGAGCTGAACTTGGTTGATCATCACTGATTTCTGTATCCGAACTTGCATGACTGATATTTTGCTGCTGAAGATTTGTTGCTTGCTGCTCTTCAAAACCCAACCCAGGATCTGCTAGGTCGTGGGCGGACATTTTAATATCTCCATCAGTAGAGATTGCAACGCCCCATGCCTGTTGTATCAAATGGTTCTCTATCGATGGTGTGGTGTGAGTAAAGTGATCCTCTGAATCCATATTCGCCTCCAATTGTCCAGTCCCACCAAATTGGAAGTCAAGGTCATGGTACGTGGCTAGTGTGCAAGTCGAGCTTACTCCCGAATTACTTACAGCTCGGCTGGGTTGGTAAAATATGGGCGTAGACGCAGATGCAGATCCGGGGAATCTTGCGAACGAGTCAGGTATCGAACCCATAGACCTGACCCGGATAAGAGACTCCACCTCGGTACTGGACGATGGTGAAGACGGTGGAAGATGCATGCGAGATAGTTCGGCGCCGAAGTTTACGTCCTCCTGTGTATCCGAAGTGTACGCCCCGGATGAAATTCCATAGCGTTGTCTTTCGTGCCTCAGAGCAACGGGGTTAACAAAACCTTTCTCGGGGTTGTCTTCTTCACTGGAAAGGTGGCTAAGCCCTGACCGCAGAGCCAATAAACCTGACCGTGCTTTGTAGAGAGTTCGTTTCGACACGGATTGGACCCATTCCTTTGGATTTCGCGATTCCGAAGTCAAACTCTGTTGCTTGTTGGGACGCCACCACGAGGTCGATATCTCTGGATTGTGTCGAGGATCTAGGGGATTAAACACAGGGTAATGAATCTTTTCTTGGCAAGTTGGCTCTTCCTGCACTGGATCAGTTATGCTGCTGTATTGATTAGCAGGCTATCTCTTTCATCTTTGGTCATTCTTTGTATGCAATTACCTAGGTCTCTTGCTTGCCTGGGACCGGAAGACTGATGATAGCAAGGATAGATGGCGACGTATGGTGTCTGAGCCTGTCTGTTGGTTGACAGGACTCATTTTGTTCAGATTGCTTTGTGACGTCTATCCAACCATTCCAATCATCAATAATATAAACGAAGCATGTGAATGATCACCAAAGATAGATACCGATTATGCAAGTGTGTGAAGATGTGACGTGAAAGGAAAAAAGAAAAAGAAAACAACAATACTGGAGGTCCGGTTAAGATCAGGAGATTAAAATCGAAGGGACGCGTGATCAAGGTCTAGTCGAGCTTGATCGCTCTTGCCCTCGAGCTCCATATTCTCCACTTTTTGCCAATTGTATACGTTAAAATATTGTACATTGAAATATCGTTTACATTATTTAACCAGAGATGATCGGCTGTATTAGATTTCCAATGTATTTTAATGAAACTGCGGGAAGGAATGGATAGGGGTAGACAACTATAATCTTCTATACACGAGGAGCATTAGAGCTAGGGTTCGTCATGGCAGCGTGACCGAACGCGTGACAGCAAGCGAGACAACGATGTATGGCAACGGCGACATCAGCAGAGCCTCCTCAGCCTTACCGGATACCGAACCGCTCCAAGCAATGGAAGATCAAATGCCCGTAGTGAGCCCAAAATTGAATATCAAGTTCTATACATCATGTTCAGACCTCTCAATAGCCCAGAAATGGGCCTAGTCTTCAAAGCCCAGCCTAACCCACAGCCCATTGAAAAGCGCCCACTAACGCCCATCAAAAGCCCATTCTGTACCCAAATACAGTCTTAGCATACATAAAGTAGCTGATTAATGGCTGTGTTTTACGTATATACCAACCTATATATTAAGTATCATTATATTACTATAGTAAGAAGTAGGAATTAAGTAGATGTTATACTGATTCCGGTATCATAATGCTAGATTTCACACAAAATTTCATACAAAATCACCTTAAAAAGATCCGATTTCACCACGAATTCGTACCTAGGAGGATTCCTAAGTATTAGTATAGAGAAATTAGTTATGTATATATTAGGTCTATATCTAACTAGGTATCAATTGTAGTAATACTAACGGTACCTCTACTTACTATGTAATTCCTTAATAAAAATAGGTACTCCATATAGAAAGTAAAGCTTTATAAAAATTAACTTTATATCTTCTAACCGAGCTTTCTCTCTCTTAATCCCTACTTCTTTTCTCCTTTATGCTTCGTCTATCCTTCATCTTTGCTACTACTACTACCACCACTGCCGTTACTATTGCCGCTTTATCAAGGTGATCCTCCGTCGCCGAGTTTAATACCGGTAATTTAAATACCTTAAAAAACCAGAGAAAACTGCATCAATTATACACCTACAATAAATTGGCATGTTTATATTGTTTGAGGCCCAGGGCCTACTAATGGGCCTAAAGATAGGGCCAGTCCATTTTGGTGGGTTGGGCTGGTTGGGCTCGGGCTTTGTGGGCTATTGAGGTCTAGGCTAGACAGTACGTATTCCAGAATAGACTCTGTTGTCCTCCAGCATGACGTGGAACGTCGCGATTTTTGAATATATCTGTTGAGCCAGCAATTAGAGCCCTTGGGTTTCATCAAAAACAACCATACAATTATTAGGCGGAATTGCACCTATTTCAAAAAGAGCCGGAAATAATTCCGTGTTTCAAGAATCTTGAGCGGCCAGCCAAATGTTATGAAAAACCATCTTGACCGTTGGTCCTATAAGTTACAAACACTTTCGGCGAAGTACCTAGGTATTTAAACGTCGTAACAAAACTCGACCCAGACGCGACCCACTGACCGACCTTCGACCTGCGCAGCCCATCTTTCAGCCGCTTGACTCTCCCCCTTCACCCCCATCCATCCCTTTCACCTTCCACCCCAGCTTGTTCGCAACCCACTTTTCAACCCCTGAAGTCGATATTTAGCCGTGCTTTTACTAAAAAATCTTTTCTTTCCCGCGCATAATATCCTTTCTGTGACACGTATTACTTTTTCCCCACTTGTTGAGTCGGACGTCGTATTGTGGAGCTGAACAAAAAGTAGTGGAAGAGCACGACTTGACACAATGTTGCGACGCTTGCCATGTTTTTCAGCGAGACACAAGACCCGAAATAGACGGTCGATCGAGGGAGGACTCGATAAAACCAGCGTGCTAACCCCAATGTGGTCGACTGGAGGAGGATCTGTAGATGTTTATTTTTCGATTGGAGACTTGCGATATGTCGCGATTGGGCACATTCCGGTAGAAAATGCCCATTCCCCTTTGTCGCATGCCCCCGGAGAAATTGACAGATGGCCATTGTAGTTTGAATTGACCGAAGATCTTACGGGAGATGCCGGGCCGCTGCTCGTGACAGTAGTGGAAGCCGATGATGGAACACCTCTCAGCCCAACTTGGTTGGACGATTACCTTGAACGACTATGTAGCAGCGACTTCCAGCTGAAACAATCATTTCTGGCGGGGTTGATTATAGCCCGAATCATGGCAATGTATACCGTGTTACCTAGCTGCCGACAATATCTGAATTCACTCGGTAACCGCTGGATTTAGATGGAAAAGGGTAAAGGCAATCCTTCGAACTTACAGCCAGGTCCATACCTCTACATCGAAAAGGCATTAAAACATGTTTATCGGCTGCACGATGACACATAGAACTTTCCTAACCGCCGTCAAGCCGAAGCCCACTTCGTGAGTATACCATGATACACAAATTAGATCTGGCAGCGGTCTGATTTTTGGCAGAAACAGACCTTCCTCTACGACGTATGAGCAACTCAAGGCCGGGGGAACGTTTTACGACTGTCTTAGCGTGGCAGTTCCTCCAAAAGCAGCGTCAGCACGGGACAATATCCCCTTTCACAGCTTCGCGTAGCAGTCAAGGACTGCTACTTCCTAGAAGGACTGAAGAACTCCTTGTGTACTAAATCTTACTACGACTTCAGCGACCCTGCTCCATTCACAGCAGAGGCAGTGCAGTCATTGGTAAAACAGGGGGCCGTTGTCCTGGGCCTAACAAAACTCAGCTCGATGATCGGCCGCGAGGAGCCCCTGGAGGCCGTTGACTTCCACATTTCATTCAATCCACGTGGAGATGGATACCAGTCCCCGGCCGGCAGCAGCAATGGAAGTGCCGCATGCGTCGCAGGGTATGACTGGATTGATTGCGCTATCGGCACAGATACCAGTGGCAGTGGAAGGCGTCCGGCGATGGCAAATGGAGTTTGGCAATTCCAACCTTCTAATAAATTGATATCTCTTAGCGGTATCGTTTGGACCTACGCTCGCTTCGACACACCCGTCGCATTTGCCAGGAGTTTCTCCATACCCAAGGCTGTTGCTCAGACTTGGATCCCAAAACACATCGACCCGATTCCAATATCGAAGGAATACAATATAATCTATTTCCTCGACTATCTACCCGTGGAAAACACAAAGCAGATGCGACTTATAGACAGCTTTATCGAAGACATGAGAGCTGCACTGCAAGCGAAGATAACAAAATTCTCGATACGAGAAGCTTGGAAGCAATCTCACCCCCCTGGAACCCCAGAAGATCTCGATGACTACTTGATCGACACCGTGGCAAGAGCTTACTATTATGCGTTCTACCACTCGTTTGCCGCATTTCGCGAAAAGTACGCCGAGAAACATAGTGGAAAGCCACCATATGTACTTCCTTCCCTACAATACCGATGGGAAACGGGTGCAGCTGTGTCCGAAGAACAGCACAAAGATGCCGTACAGCGGATGGACATCTACAAGGAATGGTTGCTTACCACAATGCTTGCCGAATCTACCAGTGAGGCTGAACCGCTGGTTGTTCTTCCAATTGGAAATGTCGCTCCGAATTATAGGGACGAGTCGTCGCCATCGCCCCGTTGGCAGTCCGCGCTAGATCAGCTTTTTCTTCCACCCATCTTAGGCGCCCTCGATATCGCCATTCCTATTGGCGAGGTACCATATGAGTCAAAGATCACCGAGGGAACTGAATATTTACCAGTTGTAATTGACATCATGGGCGCTGCAACAAAAGACCTGGAGCTCCTACAAGCCATCGAAAAGATTATGGACGTATCAGGGCGTCCCACTACTGTTACGACAGGATCGAGAGTCAAGCATGAATAATCGACTGTAAATAGATATCGTGACTCGGAATTGAAAAGAAAGTCAGGAACCAGTGTTCGATAGAGCGAAACCTTGACGTTGTAAGCTTCATCGAGACCAGAAGGTGACACGGCAGTCAAAATCATGTTCAGTCAGGTCCATTTCATCTGGTCTTATGACTGTCAGTTTACGGCGCATTGAAGCTGCGCTTCGATAAAGCCGTGTAGCTCCGTCCTCTTGGCCAATGGGCTAGATCATCCCAGGGGTACTGCTCCTAGCCCATACCGGCCAGAACGAGCTGGGCGTCGGATGGAGCGACATCTCCGGTAAAATGAAAGGGGCAGTGCGTCGGGCTGAATGCCAATGCGTAGTGGTCGGTGGCGGCGAGAAAGAAAGAAAGAAAGAAAGAAAGAAAGAAAGAAAGAAAGGGGGCGGCGATGGGTGCAAGATAGAGGGGATGAAGAAAGGAAAGGAGCTTGGAGGGCTTGTGAACCGCCTTGAAAAATGGAGATGCATGAATTTATTGATGTAAAAAGCAACTATGGATGGTACCTTGTCTATTAACTAGGTGGGTTGTTAGTAATTTAGACATCTAGGCTAGACTGAAGTGTTAGACTGGGATATTGCTTCCCATGTACGAACCTATCTAGAAACATATTCCATTAGGTCTAGGAGAAAGGGGGTTTGTAGTCCCAAATATTATATTCTACTATTTCTCTAGTTCTCGTCTATTATGTAGGATAGCCCCGTACAATGTGTAGTAAATAAGAAAAAGGTCCCACGTCGTACCCCACGTCCCGCATCCCCACGTCCCACATTTCTTCGCCCCACACACCCCGGAGCGATGGTCTGTATCTCTATATCCGGAGTCTACATTCATTGAACCTATTTTAAGCACCGATTTCTTTTTATTCTCACTCCAAAAACGTTAGTGATCCAGCTTCCATGCCATCTAAAATGCCTTCCTGGACTCATCTTGTTCGTTTTATCGCTGCCGAGGACAGCCAGGTTCACCTCGGCCAACTGGTCGACACCACCCGTGATATTGGACGCGATAGCGTCGATGGAGTGGAGATCACTGTGAAGGCCATTGAGGGTACTATCTTTGATGGCCGAGTTACGGATGAGATTTTGCATGTGAAACAGGTGAGTTGTTTGTCTTTATAGCCATTAGTGCAGGAACATATGTTGATACTTAGCCACTACAGCTCCTTGCACCCGTCACTCAAGAGCAGTGTAGTTATATCCGCTGTCTGGGTCTCAATTACATCGACCACGCACAGGAAGCCAACTTACCTCTCCCCAAGGCGCCAATTCTTTTCACTAAGCCCCGCACTGCGCTCGCTGGCCCTTACCCTGCTGCTATCAACGTCCCCAAGTGTGCGCAAGATGACACTAGTGACTACGAAGCCGAGTTGTGTCTGGTAATTGGAAAGACTGGCAGAGATATTCCCGAAGAGGAAGCCCTCGACTATGTTCTGGGTTACACTGCATCAAATGATGTCTCTGCTCGTACTCTGCAGTTGATCACGGCCCAATGGTCTTTCTCCAAGGGTCTTGATGGAAGTTGTCCTATTGGTAAGTTTTGAGAGCAATTTGGTCTGACTACTCTTTGCTAATTAAGGGCGATTATAGGTCCCGTCCTTGTGGCATCCTCCGTAATCAAGGACCCGCAGACCCTGTCAATCAAGGCCATCCACAACGGCACTACTGTTCAAGACGGACAGACCAAAGATATGATCTTCAATATCAAAAAGCAAATATCATACCTCTCGCAGGGTACCACACTCGAAGCTGGAACGCTGTTCTTGACCGGAACTCCTGCCGGTATTGGATATTTCAAGCAGCCCAGAGTTGTTCTCCGGGATGGTGATGAAATCTCGGTTAAGATTGACCAAATTGGAACTCTCGTCAACAAGGTTCGTTATGAGAGTCGTTAAAAAACCATGGGTGGTATATTTTCTTGTACATAGACATTTTTCAATAAATCTTTTTGATGATTGCTTGGTGTATTACAAAATTGCTATGTAGGTCGAGTAGAGAGATATATATCGAAACATGATGAATATCAAATTTTGTCACTCGCCGTGATGATTTATCGGGACCTCTACGGAATAGCATTGTATCTGCAAAGTTTAATGATATATGCTATGCATCTCGTATTTTCTACTTCTTATCGGATATACGGAAGAGAAGGCCGTGACAAGGCTTTCTCTCCTCCTGCCTTTCAGCTTGAACCTGAGAAAACTAACCTTTTACTGTTTGTTTGCTACAGCTATGTAATTAGAGGCGCTGTGGGACGAACAATGTACGGCATGTGAGACCATTGCGTCGGGATGTTTATAAATGCGAGAATTCATTCTTGGAATATTCGGAGTTCCTACCAATAGTAGGGTGGGGAAAGGTATATTCGTGGGTATTGGGTTGGGCCCTTTACCCTAATAGTTGCGATATTTCAACGGTGTAGAAAATGGATACGATGGTAATAAAAATGACCAAGTAGCGCAAGAAAGCCTAGAGACTTCAGCGCCATTTTATTCAATCGGGATACGCTCGGGTTATCTAGCTGGAGCCGCAGGCATCACGCGCTGTGGAGATCTGCGGCTGAGAAGGCGGATTTAAGGCTTGGAAGGAAGTAAAAGAGGCAATTAGGGGAATTGATCTAAAAATATATCAAGATCGACTCTTTGGAGAGCTCTTTCGGAACTTAGGCCAGCAGTCGGTTCTTTTCAGCATTGGCCATTGGGTTTGAGAAGAAAATCTAGATGCGCAGTGAGAAGCTCTCGACCGTCGAAATGTCGAAGTCTTCTGGGCAAGTTGAAAATTTTGAATTCTTCCATTTCATACTGAACGCATGGATATTTTTAAAAACGGCATTGTATGTTTTCCAAGTGCACGACAGTATTTAACCATATACCACATTCCTATCCAACAAAGGCGGTCGAATCTATCTCTCAATTGGGAATAATATTATGGGTGTTTATATGTGAAGGAAACAGTCATTTAATAAGTCACAATTCGCGATTATATCCCAACTCATTCGCTACTTGCTACCGAATTTGTTCAGGACGTAGAAATATCACTGTAAAAACCAAGACGGCACTTCAGGTCCCCACACAGCCAACGACTCATCACCCGCAGGCATATACCCTATCGGAGTTTGGTTGTTGACCAGATCCCCATCTGCATAATGCTCGATCATATTTCCTGTAGTATCCCACCAGTAGTCAAAAATCTGACTTCCAAGAATGTGTCGGCCAACACCCCAGACAGATTTATAGTCTTTCTTCGCGAGCCATTGGTGGCCCAGCTTCTGGGTATCGAAGTCGTGAACTTCAAATGAGCAGTGGTGCACATGGGTTGTCGGGTTTGCGCTCATGAAGAATGAGTGGTGATCGACGGTATTCTCGCCACGATCGACGTGAGCGAATAGGGCGACGTTCTTCTTTTTGCCTTCTACCTCAACGTAGAGGAAGTCTGTTGGGACGATATTGAAGTTCTTAGTGTAGAATTCGACAAGCCCTTCGAAGTTGGTGGTGCAGACGCCGTAGTGACCGAGCTATAAAGTATTAGGGTTTATATTTGGTATAAAAGGGAAGAGTGGCTAACCTTATGAACTGCGGCTGGACCAGGCTGGAAGCGTTGGAATCTTCGCACTCGTGGCTTGTCGATCTCATAGTTGGCAATCAGCTTATTTGGGTAGGTGCCAGGCGTAACTGGTGTCATTCCATAAAATAGGTTCATGGCAAATCCTTCGGGATCTGTCAATGTCACCATATGGCCCCCGCCCGGGGCATCTGTGAGATCTTGAATCTCACCCGCTGTGGGTAGCTTTGTTGCCCTTGAAAATGTCAGCGGTGTATTGTTAGCATTTGTAATTGCTTTTTCATGTCACTTACTTCTCCAGATCCTGGTAAGATTCAACTTCCCAAGCACCACCAAGGAACTTCTTCTCTCCTTTCTTTGCATAGTAGACGTAGGGGTCTACTCCATATCCCCGATACCAGATCTCGTCATCGGTCTTCTTTGCGATGGCCATACCAAAGTCTGTAAATAGATAAGCGCATGATATTTTCAAAAAAGGTTACTATAGTAGCATACCTTCAAGGAAAGTGGTAATCTCATCTAGATCAGGGTGTTGGTAGCGTATATGCGCTAGCTTAATCAAGCGGATTTGCGAGTCCGTCTTGATATTACATCTCGTTTGCCATGCAGGAATACTTTCAGCCTCTGGACCCATCGCAATAATATCGGCAATGGAGGCACCGTGGTTCGGTTGGATATTCTAGGCTGATGGATTAATACTAAAGTTGTAGATGGGATCTTACACATACCATGTTGATGATTTGATTTCGATTGAGTCTGACCTTGTCTGAATCAAACTAGCAAGCTTCTAATCTGACTTAACATGATATCCCAGGTTACATTTATAATTGCCGATGGAATTGCCCTATTTGACATCACACCTCCCCTTGTCCCCGCAAGGTCCCGCCTAATCCCACATTTCTGGGGCCTCCCCCGGACCCCACAGTTTTCGGCTTTATACGGGGTTACGTAATAGCTCTGAAAGCATCCACAACAGCAAATGAAGACATAGATATGGGTCATGCAATGAAAAATTCGTCCCACGATATGACGGTATAGCCGAATACAACGGGCAAATATGCATGATTCGCTAATGGTTAATACGGAGCCCGGATTATTTTAATGCGACATTCGCCCGTTAGCGATATCATTGCTCATTTGTGTTTGAACAAACATGGCTGATATTGAGTATGAGACTACTGATGTGGTCATCTGCGGCTGTGGTCCGACCGGGGCAATGCTCTCTGTATACCTTGGGCGAATGTCTATTCGACACGTTGTGATTGAGAAGGAGCCTGAGATCACTACTGATCCACGAGGTATTGCGCTGGATGAGGATGGAATTCGGGCGTTGCAAGGCGCTGGCATCTATGATCCCATTTATTCTGATATTGGGACTTGTGAGGATATTCAGTTCGACGCGTTGTCCTTTTTCCTTTGCTAACTCGATGTCAGGCATGCAAAAGTTCAAGTTCATTGGAGGAACGGATAAAGTCCTCGACAAGAAGGCTTTCTTAGAAATGGATTATGGCACGGTTTGTATATCTATCCCTCTTTAGAGTCTTCCTGCTCACCCATCTCATACAGACCGAAGGTGGTACCGGCCATGTTGGATTCATATGCCATAAACAACCAATCCTCGAAAAGCATCTGAGAACAGCAATGACCTCATCCAGCTTCTGTCAGCTCCAAACCAACGCAACTATGATCGATATTCGCGAGGAAGGAGATCATGTCTATTCGCAGTATCGTGATGCGCAAGGCAAAGTACACAACCTAAAGTCTCCATTTCTAGTTGGCGCCGATGGCAAGACAGGCTTTACCAGGAAGAGCTTCATGGAGCCTTTGGGTATCCGCATGGAACAGGCACATCAGTGAGTTATGGTGTCTTTGGGTGTATTCTTCCTTTTGTGGAAATACTAACCTCTGTTAGATCATTCTACGATGAAACCTGGGTGGCACTGAATTGGGAGATCTCACTTCCTACGGAAAAGACGCACCCCGACTTTCCCCTGTGGAAGCTAGGATACACCCCAGAAGAAGTCTACGATCTGTTTTTCCCAGAGAACTTTAGGTTCGTCTGTAATCCAGAGCGCCCCGCTGTGTGTGGACGTTTTGGGTTGCCAGCAGACAGACTCTGGCGCTTTGAGTTTGTTGTACTTCCCGGTGAAGATGGACAGGAAATGTCCAACCCCGAGAATATTGAAAAAGTTGTATATCCCTATATTACACACCCGGGAAGTAAATATGGGTAAGTTTGGCTGTCCTAGAAAGGATATAGAGCGCTGATACTGACCATTACAGATTAATTCAAGATATCACATTCCCCGATGACTGCATCCGCGTCCTTCGATCACGACCATTCCGCTTCGCTGCGCGAAGCTGCAATAGATGGTCACATGGCCGCGTAGTACTTTGCGGCGATGCAGCACACGTATTCCCACCCTGTCAGTATTTCAAGTCCAATATTACGGATGCATAATAATAACAGAGTACAGTTGGTGGCCAAGGAATTGCATCCGGCTTCCGCGACGCCGTCAGCCTAGCCTGGCGTCTCGTCCTTCTCTGCAGACGAGAACCGTCAACCAAACCCAACAACCACGAACAAGTTCTATCGGCGTGGTATATTGAGCGCAAGCAGCAGCTGGAGCGGTCCCTCACATCAACGATTGGGAATGGCCAGTTCGTCACCGAAGGCAATCCTCTCAAAATTTTCCTCCGCGATTGGTCGCTGTACTTTATGCACTTCATTCCAAGTTGGAGGCATTATCTCCGGCTTGGGCGCCGAAAGGAAGGGATGGTGCCGTACAAGTACTCGCCTGGACTCCCATTTGATCCGGCGTACAAGGGAGGTACTTTCCTTCGACAGGTTTATTGTAAGCCTGTTGGAACGTCGGGTGATGTGTTGTTCTCAGATGATATCATCTTCCAAAAAGAGAAGAAAGGGCTCTTCCAGCTGCTTGTATGTCTGAAAGATGTGAATGAGCTGACTGCTGCGCGCGAGTCGGTATCTCGGATTGAAGAGACTTCCAAGGGAGAGCTCCCGTATGCTGAAGTCACGTACCTTGTTGGAAGGTTAGACATGGAATCGAGGGCTCTTACACAAGACACTTCTTCGGTTTACCGTCTGGCCACCGCTGAAGAGTTTGCTGGGTCACCCTTGTGTCGTGGACGACCGAAGCCAGAGTATTATGACCCACACCAACTTGCGAAGGCGCTAGGAAGAAGCATGTTTGTCCTTGTTCGACCGGACCGCATTGTATATGCTGCTTGTGATGACGTTTCCCAGCTCGAGAAAGAGGTTAGAGAGGCTGTGACATATCTACGTGCATGAATTCATTTCCTTGGAGTTTCTATTGCCGATATTTGTATCCATATTTATTTATTTCCATGGAAGATATTGTAGTTAAATATATGTTAGAAATATGGTGGATCTGCATGTGGATCTTCCCCAGGATCTCTGGCAAGATCGGTATCAGACATCTCACATAACATTCGATATTACTCTTTGTCAACATGCTCTGCATACGATTTCCGTATCAGCTGCTCCAGAGAAGCGTATACAGAAGAAAGAAAGAAATAAAAGGACCGCAGCTGTAACAAATAGATAATATCTCTATGGGAGCCTGTTGCTTCACCCCACCCAACAGCTGTTTGACTATAGAGTTTCAGTCCCTATGTATGTCATGTATGTATAAACAAGATTTGATTTAGTTCAAACGATTCATTTCAAATACACCATTCATTACTTCATATAGGATACTTTTAGGGCTACGCGAAGTACACTGTCTTCCGGATAGGCCCATCACCGGCCATACCTCTCATCATCCTCAACATCAGGAAGCAGCAAATCCAAAATCGAGGCAAACAACTGCGAAATTCCCCAATGACCAGCTCTTGGTAAGATATGCACTAATCCACAGAAAGTACTTGAGTCAGCCGTCGTAGGCCGGGATGTTTTAAATCCATGCGCTTCAAACAACAACCTTTGATAATCAAGACCTATCTTCTGCAGCTCTGAAAACTCCACATTTTGTTGTGAGTTTTCTGTATCCGATCCAAAGCGCGTGTAGCAGAACCAAATCAGTGCTGCGCGGAATATTATTCGCGGGATGTGGATCGGTGGTTCGGTTCCGATATACTCCTGTTCGAGTTCACGAAGAATTAGTGCAGCGTGGAGCGCGCAGCGTTGGCCGTCTGGAGATGAGGCCCAGGAACGGGCGTAGGTTACGTGATTCTGGGACTCGGTAAAGCCCTCTTTGCCGATTACCAGTTCCAGTCGATTTGTGTTGGCGTAGAGTGAGAAGAAGATCGAGTGCCATAGAATGGGCAGGCAGTACGGATCTGGATTGTGTTCTTTGTTGAGGCCTATATGCGACTCGTGGAAGGTTACCAGGTTATCCTCACAGTACTGTCGCTCGGTTGGGTTATTTGTATTATTGGCTTCGACTGCGGATGTGTTGAGCCCTTCGAGCTCAAGATAGGCGTAGAATCCATTGCTAGAAAGGGGGGATAATAGTAGAGGTGCCTGATCGGTTCTTATATCCGGTGGCCGCGAGTGGGTTTCATGCATGCTTGAGTCCGGTAGGCGGCTCATTATCTTTTCACTCCAGTCTTCTGCTGTTGTTGCAGCCCATAGGTCATCATCAGACAATGGCGGGAGCTTTTCGGGTGAATGTCGCAGATATGTGTCTATCAAAAACAGCTCTAAGATCTCGACATCATGAACATGAATTCCTGCGAGTAGCCTTGAGCCGAGATCTTAGTAATTTGAATATAGTTTAATGTTTCGCTCAGCTCACCGGTTCTGTTCTTCTGCCTGAATCCATTTCTTCCAGGCCTTTTGTGGTGTGTGGAAGACCTCGCTCAAGCTGATATAGTCAGATGCTCTCTTGACCTTGGATGGGGTTGCCCTCTTAGCCCACTAATGGGTTTGTTAATATGACCCAAGCCCCATGGGGGAGGGAGTATTGCATCACTTACTACAAGAAGAGTGCCATGGAATGTCTGTGCAATGAGTAAATCCTTCGGTCTCTGATCATGCCTGTTAGTTATTGAACAACAAAAAGATATGCAGTCGCCTCACCCCAGATAAAAGTCCAAATGTCTGACCTATGAGAGCCGCCTGGATCAAGGCAATTGTCTCAGGTCCTTGTCTCGAGAAGTATCTTTCCCACTATATGAAGTTAACTAAAGACTCATAAAGATCGAGGTCGGCAAACAAACCGACGACAGGATCGCTTTATTAAGAGTCTCAAACACTTTGACACCTTTCGATGCAGCGTGTGAAGATCCCACAAACAGGCTTCCAATGGAGCAAATGGATAGCAGCAGCAATGAGCTTTTAGCACACGGCCGGAAAGTTGGCGCATGTACGATTGGAAACACGGGATGGAATTTCGTGAAGTACATTTGGATGCATATATTCTATTTTATTAGCTGAGAATGGGAATCAATGAGGAAGAATAAGAACACACCAGAAAGTCCGTGGAGGGAAGTGGTAGGAAGGGCGTATGAGGCTGGAGCTTGACAGCTAGGCTAGCTCGGTATGCTTCATCCACTTGTGTTGTCTCCGGACCCGTGTCCGGGGTAGTGTGTCCCGTTATTGATGTCCCCATGAACGTGTACCAATGTGTTTGTACTAGTTGCTCCCGTGATGGAAGTGTATCCTCCACAAGCGGTCGCAAGGTATCGCGCTCAGGTTCATTTTGGTATCGGCCGGAGGTTCCAGAAGGAACCCAGTTAGCAGTTGACATCAAAATCTCTGAGTTCAAAGCACCGATATCAAAGTCATCATCTGCAAACCATGCTGGTATTTGGGTACTGGCGTTGCCAAAGACCCATGACCCATCTTGGCTAGAATCATGTAGAGACGAATCTAGGCCAATTAATTGAGATTGGGAACCTGGTGTCGGTAATCCGGCCACTGCTCCGTCGAAATTTGACCGCGCCAATTCTTCGACATTCGAACCGACCGCCAGGTGTTGTGCCGGATTTGTAAGTGAACGAAATGCCGATCTGGGATGACCAGCATTTGGATACCTCGATCCAAATGAGAGACGGTCTGGGGCAGTATGAGCCTTATGGGCGCCTATTGAATAGTCGTTGTTTAATGGAGACACTTGCACATCGTGGCGATTCAGTGGTGGGTGTATGTCATCATTTTCTGTGCTGTGGGCCACATTAGTAGAGGGAATAGCACTAGATGGTCGATGAGATCTTGAATGCCGCAGAAGAGAATCACTGAAAGCTCAATCAATGTTAAATCAATCACATATAGATAGACGCCACAACACGTACTGGCGACTAAAGGCTTTTTTACATATCGTACAGACGAACGGTTTCTCCCTGGTGTGTGTCCTAACATGCCGTGCCAGGTGCTCATCCTTAGTAAATGACTTGAAACACCAAGAACACAAACGCTGGCGACGAGTGCGGGGCCGTTCGGCCATAATGTGGTTATTACTTGGGGGATGAAAGGGTGAAGAGATGTGGTGGGGAGCGGAGGCATGAGGTGGGAAAGTCTGGGGTTCACCAGGATTTCTTCAGACCGAAGAAATTCGACTCTTCACATTAAGCTCAATTAGGCCCGTGAAATAAATCGCGATTTTGTTTAGCTTTGACCAATTTTGCTTACAGCTTCACATTCTATCCGGTCGACGTTCTTTGTGCCCGCGTAGTCCCGCATTTTTGGTCCCGCATTTTGGTGGGACCTAAAGGGCAAACAGAGCCTTGGTGGCGATCAATGGCGATTTGACAACTCAAAAGGGTTGATAATTCACTGGCTTCAACTCTATCTTCACCGGTGACTTCAGCAGTGGCTATGGTTTGTGGGACCCCCCATACCCCGGGTCTGGGGTAACTGGGGAAGTCTTATCCTGGGGTTGATACCCCGGCTCACCCTTGATTTAAGATGCAATAATGCCTCGACAGGGCGCTTGTTTCAGATCTCCACTGCTTTCCTTTCAATTATATTCATCAACATGACTAAGAAACAGAGTCCTATTGACCCTACTACCGTTTTTAACATGGACCTTATCCCTGGAACAGAACTAATGAGAGAAGGGGGTGAAGCCCATCTGACAAATGGATCGAAACACGATATGCCGTAAGGAATATGTAGGAAAAATGATTTGACTATATTGGTACTTACTATATTGAGTAGGCTTATTCCCTGTCCCTCAGATGACCCTGCGGACCCCTTGAACTGGTCCAAGCCGTGGAAGTGCAAGTAACCCATCTGATGTCTTAAGGACAGAGGCTAACTAAAGTATAAATCACACAGATTTAGTTATTACGATCCAGTTCCTCTTTCTATTCGTCTCTGTGGAATCAGCACTCTCAATGGGACCTATGTTTCCCCTGTTCGCCGCTGAATTTCACCTCAACGATACCCAGCTGAGTTTGTTGACTGGAGCATGCGTTCTCGCTCTTGGCTTTGCGAACTTTGTCATCGTTCCCTGTTCGAACACCTTTGGACGACGCTTCACAAGTCTCATCTTTTGCTTGCTTGGCACTACTTCGTGTATTTGGCAAGCTCTGGCTACTTCATATACCAGCATACTCGCTGCTCGCGTTATAAATGGAATTGCCACGGCTACCAGTGAGACACTTTTGGTGCAAGTTGTGGCGGATATGCTCTTTATCCATGAGAGGGGTCTGTGGACTGGTGTTTACTTGTGAGTATGACCCCTATCACTGTCATTGTTCATACTCATCTTCTATCAGCATGGGCTACTTCCTCGGTCTATTCATTGGCCCTGTCATCTCCGGTAATATCGCGCAAAGGTATGCGATTTAAGCTCAAGTGGGCCCAATCTTGGAATGTACACAACTAACTTTGTATTATAGATACGGCTGGCGTAGCTTCTTCTGGCTCTCTCTAGCGCTGACTTGCTTCAACTTCATCACTCTCTTGATCTGTTTCCCTGAAACCCGTTTCTGTAGGGACTCAATCTTAGAGAACTCGGAGCTCAGAGCAACTACATCCTCCTGCCAAAGCATCAAACAACAGGACCCAGAGGTAGAATCTGAACAACTTGAGAACATCGAGCGATCCATTACCGTTGGCACTGGCCGGCCCTCTAAGTCCCAGTTTAAACTGTGGCAAGCCCCAGAAGCAGCATGGAAAGCAATTCTTCTAGGGGATATCATCACGCCATTCCGCCTGTTTCTCTTTCCTATTATCCTCTGGGCGGGGCTGAATGTCGCCGGGCCAGCAAATATCCTCCTTTTCTGGAACCTCACGGAATCTTCTGTCCTCAGCGCACCCCCATATGATTTCTCTCCATCTAGTGTAGGATATGCGAATTTCGCATTCGTTGTTGGCGGCTTGATTGGACTTGCTACCGCAGGCCCGCTCTCAGATTGGGTTGCTGTGCGCGCTTCAAAACGCAATAATGACATTCGAGAAGCGGAGATGCGGTTGCCAGCTCTTATTCCCTATTTCTTTGTTACCGTTGTTGGTATTGTGATTGGTGGCGTGGGCTATGATCGGCTTTGGGATTGGCCTGTGGTCCTGGTTGTTGGATATGGCTTCAGTGGAGTTTGTGTGACCGCTGTTCCTACAATCGCCATTGCCTATGCGGTTGATTGCTACAAACCCATTTCTGGGGAGATCATGGTTGTTGCAACTGTAATCAAGAATGTTTGTGGTTTTGTGATGAGTTATTGGGTTATGCCGATGGCAGCGCGAAGGGGCTTTTTGGCGCCTGCCATGGTTGAGTTCGCGCTGACAATAGGGCCTATGCTCCTAGGACTTCCGATTTATTTCTTTGGAAAGCGTCTCCGCAGGCTGACGAGAAATTCGACTGTGTATAAGCACAGGAGTTGATTGTTTACGAGGGAATACACGAATTGTTGCAAACGTACAGCGTTTAGATACTTACTCTTCACTATCTTCAACTATAACCCCCATATATCTGACCTACTACCAATTATCTTACATGCACTACATTGTCGAGGCTGCCCTGAAAAAGGCTGGCTGCCCATAATACCAGGCTGTTCTTTTTGATAGGATGATAGGGGCCATCTAAAAGAGGGTTGCATAGGGTAGGACTAGTTAGCGTGTTCCAGTTTATTAATAACTTACTAGGGCCACTCACCCCTGTCTTCAGCTCAGACTTAGTGAGCGAATCAGGGCGCTCATATTATGATCAGTGAGCGAATGGCTCAGAGGCGTGCTCAGATCTACTCAGTGAGCAAAAGGCGACAAGACATGGGCCCTAGAACGGGAAGAGAAGGCCAACATTGGAAGGAGTGGAGAGAAAATCAAGTACATAGGTATAGTAGCAGTAGCGACGACGTCAGCAGAGGTTTTGCAGCATGACCTACTGCTCTCTTCCCAATGCAACCCTTCTTTGTAGAAAAGGAATTTTCATAGATTGTAATGATAATGATGCTTCGTTCTGTGATTTGCCAAAAGATACCCTTCCCTAATATCACACTAGTCATTCGGGGTTTTCCCCATGCATCTCGACTATATTTCCGTTTCCGCGTACAGCTGTTGAGCGAGCTGGTGTTGAGCGTTGTAGTGGCTGGATAAGCAAATATCGATGCGGTAGAGGACAGCAAGCGGACGACTAACACTGTGTGAAGGCTTAATCTTAGCAATGATTTCTGTATTTTCGTTGGTCGCATCCACAATTACTCGGATATCGCAAGATATCTCGAAATTGGAGCTCATGGTTTATCATATCGCCATAGTTTAACAAGCGCTAGGACAGTAGGCATCAATCAAGCCACATTGGTATCATGTAGCGACGTATATTGCAGTTTTTGTGGGTTTGGCGTTTGGCTGAGCTGTTGGCACAGAGACATGAAGGGGAGAGAGACGAGAGAGATACGATACTGGAGGAACAGAGGTATTGGCTTAAGGCACAAATCTGCTTCAGTAGTTCTCCTGTTTTTGGGAAGTCCATGTCTGGTTTGAATAAGTTGAGGTATGCAGGAGAAATAGCAAGTCTTCCATCCAAGAAGGACGAGAATACCAAACTCACCCCTTTCGATTTACCTCAACTTTACCTCAGCATATGATGTCAGGTAGGGCCTCCCATCCTTGAAGCCAATGAAAAGCTTCCGATTTGCGCTCGACGCGCTAGACAGAATCAAGCAATGATAGCAGGGTTACATGATCGGATCTGTCAAGAGATCTGGTCCGCAATCACACCTCAATCCCAGAATGGCAATCTATGCGGCCTTTACCCTGGCTGGTTATAGTCTTCAATAGGAAAAGAATGGTCAAAAACCAGAGATAGGACAAACATGCCAAGTGTCTGCGGAACATGCTTAGATATGTGTGGGATATGTCCGACCGGCTCAACCTTGGAGGGTTCACAGTCTGTCACTTGTCTCATTTCTAATCGAACAGCACTACTCACACATGTTTGAGAAGTGCAAGGTTTGAGATACATTGGAGGTCAACCGTAGAACGTCCGGGGTACAGAACCGCTAGGTCCCAGCATGGATATTCCCCCGCAGAAACACGGGGACGGAAATCACCGTGAGAGATAAAAAGTAATTGCAAATGTCAAGCTTCACGCACATCGGCGTCTCCCGTCTAGGACCAGGAAGCTTGATTGAAAGCCAATAGGGGATTGGCTGGGATACTGCCAATCAGGGGTGTTGCACAAACACAAGGTTTAGCCACGCAGAAGACCCCCAAGACCCCTGCAAAATGATAAGAGTAATTGACATCCAGGTATCTCAAACAAGTGTAATTGGTACAAGGATCATCAAGAGTTTACTGAGGTGGAGTCAAGAATACTGTCACTATCAGGAGATAATCGGAAGTCGGAGATACTTCTTATCAAGTCCCGAGACAGCAGACTCCACTCGTGAACTTTCAGATCCGCTCACACTACTCCTTCGTCCAATGACAATCGAATACCAGGCTGAAGACGCCAAGCGAGTGCACAATCCTCGGCATGCTGATAAGCTAGGGCTATCCGGAGAGTTATGATTGGTTTAACTGATTCCTTGCTGGGGCCTCAAGGCTTGTTATTCGGCTCGTCTTCTGGAATTTATGGATTTTTCGAGGGGAACACGCGACAGGGCTATCTTTGCCACAGTGCGAGCTCGTCGGTGGGGCCCGGACGCGCAAAGAATTCTCGTGAAACACTATATTAACAGCTCCTCCCCGTCGGTGGAGCAAAAAAAAAAAGAAAGAAAGAACGATGTGACACTGTCCCTTTATCTAATTCCTTCATCCTGATCTCCCTGGGTCTCGCTGAGCCTTTCCCAGCTCTCCGATTAATCCCGTTTATATACATTCTAATTCTTCGCCTTCATTGGTGAGGATTCGACCGAAAACATGCTCCCTAACCTAGCCAAAACGTTCCGCAGCTCAAATGAGGACCTGGAAAAAGCACCCCAGGTGAACAATACTTCCGTCGCAAATAGCAATGAGCTATTCGACAACTCCAGTGATGGCGCCGTGCCCGGCGAGAGCTTCGAATACGGCGATTCGATGTACGCCAAGCTCCAACGCGTAGCCGGAAAGTTCAACATCGAGCAGCGAGGTGTCGAGCGAGTTCCAGATTCTGAGCGGACCGATACGTCCTATTTCAATATTGGTAGCATGGTGTGTTCCTGCAATTACCTGGCGTACTCGCCGTGGCCTAGAGGCCTTGTCCACTGACCAAACCTAGTGGTTGGCCGCAAACATGGTCGTCAGCTCCTTCGCCATTGGCGTTCTTGGAAAGTCGGCATTCAGTTTGGGCTTCGTTGATGCGATTTTGGTCTGTCTCTTTTTCAACCTCCTCGGTGTTATGACTGTGTGCTTCTTCTCGTGCTTTGGCCCACCCTTTGGGCTGCGCCAGATGGTGCTCTCGCGATTCTGGTTTGGATGGTGGCCTGTGAAATTCAGTAAGTTAGCTGGGCATGTCCATTGGGTGGTGCGTGTCTAATTCGTAATTTCCTAGTTGCCGTTCTTAACGTTATCGCCTGTGTCGGTTGGTCTGCTGCCAACGCCATTGTCGGTGCCCAGCTCCTCAACGCAGTGAACGCCAGAGTCCCCGGATACGCCGGTATCCTCATCATCACATTCTGCACACTCTTCGTCACCTTTGCTGGGTACAAGTTCGTTCACATGTATGAGTATTGGAGCTGGATCCCCACCACCATTGTGTTCATCATCGTGCTCGGCACATTCGCCCACTCCGGCGATTTCATCAACATCCCAATGGGAGTCGGAATTTCTGAAATGGGTTCCTGTCTATCCTTTGGATCCACTGTCTATGGTTTCGCAACTGGCTGGACCAGCTACGCTGCCGACTACACCGTCTACCAGCCAAAGACCCAGAGCCGTCGTCTGGTCTTCTTATCTGCCTGGCTTGGTCTGATCGTCCCCCTAATCTTCACTCAATTTCTCGGTATCGCTGTTATGTCTGCGACTGCTATGGGCGACGGAGTTCATAACAAGTATGCCGAGGGCTACCTAGCCTCGGGCAACGGCGGCCTGATCGCAGCTGTGCTGGAGCCTCTCGGCGGCTTCGGCAAATTCTGCCTTGTCGTTCTGGCCCTGTCCATTATCGCCAACAACTGCCCCAACATCTACTCCGTCGCTTTGACCTTGCAGGTGTTGGGTCGGGCTACCCAGCGCGTGCCCCGATTTATCTGGACTTTCCTCGCCTCGTGCGTTTCCCTTGCCATTGCCATCCCGGGTTACGATCACTTCGAGACCGTGCTCGAGAACTTCATGAACCTTATCGCCTACTGGTTGGCCATTTACTCCGGCATTGCGCTCATTGACCATTTCGTTTTCCGACGTGGATTCGATGGCTATCGTCCGGAGGACTACGACAGTCCCCATAAGCTCCCTATGGGAATCGCCGCATCTGTTGCCTTTGCTTTCGGTATTGCCGGTGTTGTTGTGGGCATGAGCCAAACGTGGTGGATGGGTCCTATCGCCAAGCATGCTGGAGACCCAGAATTTGGTGGCGACGTCGGATTTGAGTTGGGCTTTGCCTTCTCTTCCGCCATTTATTGCATCTTGCGACCCATCGAGATTCGTATGACTGGTCGATAAGTTTAATTTGATAGTAGCGTACTTTAAATTTTGTATATTTAAACCTATTAACTATACATGTATCTCGACCATATCATTATTTTTATATTTAACACATGGTACTAAACTAACATGGCACAGATGGTATGGTAATATAGAAGTTCACTTTAAATAAAAATCCGGTCTAGAAGAACAGATTCCAGGAGAATTTTGCACACTTGTTATATATATACTTCTAACCTTTGCTACTTCCAAGTAATAACAAAAACGTGGTAGAGATAAAAGCGACTTTCAATGTTAATTAAGTAGACTATATTTCTAATCTCAATTGATGTCCTTATAATTAAATGATACGGTCGATATATATAGGTCAAAATATGCTAGCTTTGGTATACCTTTCCCATTGAAGACACATAAAATGTACCTTCAACCTGTTCCTAACCCCATTTAGGACCTGGGCCAAGCGATAGACCGAGTCGTGAAAAAGAACTGGACGGGAACCCCCAGCCCTCAGAGGACATCCTAAAGTAGAAATCTGATGCGCTACCAATTGCCCCAACACGGCTAAAGCTCTCCCCGCCACTGGTAGCACCTTCACCCTCGCACTCGGACAATTCAACCCGTCCGTCGGTACAATATCAAGCCGTTCTAGCAGCGGATATAATGTAAAACCCGTGGACAAGATTATCAGGTGCGCAGGGTACATTGGAAAGCCCGAAAATCCATAACTTTCATTGGCTGGGAAAGACACATATGGAGACTTCAACATGCCCAGGTGCTTCCCAATCCGGTTAGTTGATGACATCCAAATCCAGCAAGTTGATATCTGACCTCAGGTAATAGAAATCGTGCACCTCCCAATACAAAAGGTATAAAATGTAGATAACATCCCAGACAATGCCTCCTATTTTGAAGCTACAATTCTCCAATTCAACCAATCCAACATTCCTCTAAACCAATATTGCGCGTAACATATCTCGCCCTAATTTTATACATCAACCATGCCTCTCGCCTATAATCCCGAGAAAGAGATCCCCGACCTGACGGGGAAGTCAATATTCATTACAGGAGGTCTAAAACTAATCCTTTCTGCGTTCTAAATTTCCCAACTAAACACCCAATCTAGGAACCAGTGGTCTAGGCGCAGCATCAGCACTCCACCTCGCCAAGCACAACCCATCACACATCTACCTTAGCGGCCGCAATGCTACGAGCGCAGAAAAAATGATCAAACAAATCCACGAAATCAATCCCAAACTCCCAGTCACATTCATACAATGCGACCTAGCCTCCCTGACCTCCGTCAAAAATACCACCGAGCATTTCACTAGCCAACACTCAACCCTGAATATCCTAATGTGCAATGCCGGTATAATGGCTCAACCACCGGGCCAAACAGTAGATGGCTACGAGCTGCAATTCGGCACCAATCACCTCGGCCATGCACTGCTAATAAAAAAACTCCTACCCCTCCTCGAAGCCTCCACCGACCCCCGCATCGTGCTCCTCACTTCACAGGGGAAGGGGCTGCATCCGCCGGGTGGAATCGTCTTCGACAAGCTCAAGACGACGCAGGATATTGCGTTTGGCGGGCCGTGGGTGCGGTATGGACAGAGTAAATTGGCCAATTTGATATACGCGCGCGAGCTCGCGAAGAGGTTTCCGGCTATCACGTCGGTGTCGGTGCATCCAGGTGTTGTGGAAACGGGTCTTGTTAGTAATCTTGGGATTAAGGAGAAGATTCTTGTTTATGTGATTACTTGGTGGATTATTCTGCAGCCGCATGAGGGTGCATTTAGTCAGATTTGGGCGGCTACCGTTGATAAAGCAGAGATTCGGAATGGCGGGTACTATGAGCCTGTTGGAAAGTTGATGGATAGGAAGCTTGATGCGAGGGCGAGGGATGGGGCCCTTGCGGAGAGGTTGTGGGATTGGACTGAGGAGGCTTTGAAGGGATTTTGATTTGGTGTTGGTTGAGGGAGAGCCTAATTCGGTCTTTGGACTAGGGAGGAGTGAATTTGGCTTGGTAGATTTGTGCTAATATGAGCTTTGCAATATGATAAGCCGAAACATTATTAATTTAGAGCGCTAGATCAAGAAGACGCTTTGTAAATTCCGGGGGCTATTCGACTGGTTCAATCTGGGAGCGCAATGCCACAGTGTACTATCCAAACAAAGGCAAGCCCTGGAGGAGAGGGATAAATTCAGTTTCTACAGACAAAATTCGGGCCCCATTTTTTAATACCCTCGGCATCACTTTTGTCAAACAGCCTCGGGGTTCAAATAAACAGAGTCCCTCCAAGACCTCAACAGTCGCGCAGAAGCCTGGTGTCCATTGCGTTCCGCGAGCTCGACAGCCCTGCGATACTGCGTTTCACCTTCACCGACAACCAGCGCTCCTTCCTCGAGCAGCACTTGCAGCATATCAATTCGACCGTGTTCTGCCGCTCCCTGCAAGGCCGTACGTCCATTGTGCTTTGCCGGAGCTTCATTGACATCTGCTCCTAGGTCAAGTAGTTTTCTTGCGATACCAATATAACCTTTGAGGCATGCAATCTGCAATGCAGTAGCACCGCCGTCCATGGCAGGAGGGCCATCAATCCTAGCTCCGTGCTCCGAAATCAGTAGGTTGATAAGCTCCATGTTTCCTTTTTCAACGGCATATTGCAATGCCGTTCGACGGCGAGCCCCATGACCAAGATAGTTGACATCAGTTTTTGCCATCAATTTCCGCGCGATCGGGGTCATTTGTCTATTGACAGCAGCTTCGAGGGGACGGTACGTTTCTCGTTCTCTTTTGACTTCTCCATAATCGTCCTCGTCAGAGGGGTATTCGATGGTAATCTCCTGAGTCAGATCAGGATTGAAAAGCATTATATCCTCCGCGAGTTCATTCAGATCTAAAAGTATCGCAAATGTCAAGGCGCGACCGGTCAGCCTTGGGCTCCAGGGCATCCACTGGAGCAGGAACTGTAAATTCTCCCTAGTTCCTACGACCAGTGCTATTTCGAGTACCGACTCTGGTGGCGGCAGTTCAAAGTCTTTCAAATCCTCCAAATCCCAAAAATCTTGGAAAAGTTGTGGTACGCCAGTGGGATCCACTCCTGCCTCTTGAAGGAGCTGTAAGGGCTCATCTTCACAGAGTGCGGTCCCAACTGTCGTTGGGGCACTTCCGCGGAACCTGGTCAGTAGTCGTTCAAGAAACACAGGATCTCTGCCTATAGCATTTGCAAGAACCATGTCTGTAACCTTTGCACCGCGTTCCAACAGTCTTTGTACAAAGCCAAAATCCTGCATTCGGACTGCTGCTTCCAGTGGGGTCTGCTTGGAGAGGGCAGGCTCTTCATTTTCAATGCGGTCTTCATGATCAGCATTATGTTCAAGCAAGTACTGAGCTAGATCTCTCTTCTCTTCGGATAGAGCAGCAGCAAGGATGCCGGGACCTGACACCCTCAGAACGCCTTGAAGAACTCCATTTGCCTGTAGGTACATCGCAGTACCTAAAGTGCCGATTGTTTGTAGTTTGGTTCCCACAAATGCAGCTCCGGCTACCAAGAGGCTGTTGATCAACACCCCATCCCCCTTTTTAATGGCAGCTCCAAGTACAGTGTAAGGGGGGTTGGAGTATTCGTCATTGAGGCGTGCGCCTGCGTTGATGAAGAGCTCAACAACTTCGGGAGACTTTCCTTCAAGTGCAAGGAGAAGAGCTGAGGACTCATGTTTCTGAGTGGAGAACGGTCTGTCAATTCGGGCTCCATATTGAATCAAGACCTTGCACAGGGCCAAAGCCATAGGGTGCCGGGTGGCACGTTCAAGCAGTGTCATTTTCCCTTGCTCATCGGCTAGTTTGATACTGACCCCGGCTTGGAGTAGAGTCTGGGTAATCTGAACGCTTCCTACCTCCACCGCTAGTGCAACAGGCGAGATATAAGGCATTCCATCGAAGTCAGGGTTCATCTCATGGCAGCCCCACAGTAGAGCGTGTATAATATTGATAGATTGTGACAGAACGCCAAGGCCCAAGATAGTGGTTGTTGCAACGTCATTCTCGAAATTGACAATCGTCAGATCATTTGCATTGGCACCTTTGGCGAGTAACATTTGAATTATCGGGACATTGCGATACTCGACAGCCTGTGCAAGAGCACTGGGGTCCTGCCACCCTGTTCGTGCGTTCACGTCAGAACATGAATTGACGATTTCTTCAAATACTCCGATATCTTTCATATTTGTGGCAGTAGAAAGGCAAGACGGCGTCACAATAGCACCGTGAAACATAAGAGTACGCATGATTTCGTTATCGTGTTTATTGATGGCATAAAACAAAGGTGGATGGCTATTACCCGAATGATTCACATCCGCCCCATGGGATATAAGAAGATTGATGAGTTCCTCGCCGCGTTCGTGCTGGCTTCTTGCAATGAATTGAAGAGGTGTTAGGAAACCATGGGAGATTGACTCAACCAATGGGTTGTTTGGATCCATGTGGGCTTCGAGCATCATCCTCACCACGTCCACGTCATGTAGTCTCAATGCACTTGCAAACACCCTTTCTGCAATTGCTTCAGCAGTTGGCTCACGGGTTGATAAAAGGATCTGAATATGTTTCAAGTCCTTCCAGCCAGAGTCGCTCAACCTTTGTATCACCCGCTCGTCATCGGATCTGATATTTCTCTCGGTCCGTCCACCTGGATCTTGCGAAGTGATGTTGTTTGAGAGAAGGAAAAGCTCCAAGGCGATACGATCTCTTCCCCTGTTTGTAGAGTTGTTCAAGTTAGTTGACAAAGCATCGTGCTGGCCCGGAAACTCCTCTGGCATGAGTATTCTCAGAGCTGTCGATGTTCGAGAGCTACTATGTAGGTTCGGGGGATGGCTTAGTCTGTTCCATGGTATGATTGTGCTCAGGCGATGCATCAGTTCGCGGTTGACCGTGCGAGAGGGCGCATTGGCTCCGCCAGGGGAAAATATGGTCAGGGACGAGGACGGCGATGGTGCCGCTAAATATATTGTGAGGCTCAGTCCCATTGGATCTGAAAGGATGAGCCAGAAAAGCCATACCTTCATTCTCCATGGAACGCACAAGTTTGATGAAGCGCAGCCATGGGAGTGACCCACCATTCCAGAGAAGATGCATTCCTGGCGATGCTGGGGTGCAAACAAAAAAGCCTTCTGGTGTGTTCGGGGAGGGAGCTAGAAATCGATCAGTATATTCATCTCTAGTCTGATTGAAATCATATGTGCAGCTTACCAGTAGAGTACCTGGCTATGCTTGAAACGTAGGCATCTCTATATTTTGCCTTCTTAACCTTTGGTACGTGAACCTGGTTTTCACCAATGTAGAACTCGCTTTCCTTCTGGTCGTTGTGTTTTCTTTTATTCTGCTTGTTTCCAATCCAAGCCCACTCGTCCGCCGTAATGCGACCCTTGACAAAGCCCCATTTCTTGAGCTGGCGGCTATACTGGCTTGGGCTTTGTATCTGTGAGCTGAGTGGAGTGGCCTATCGGTACCGCAACACTTACGACTTGGCCAAGGAGTATTTGGACACCATGTAGTCCATAACATAGGTCAAGGTTTTGTTCTCATGGATGTACAGACGCTCGATTTCGAGCTTGAATGGTTCGAAATCCGATTCCGCCATGATTGGTGGGAATTGTTGAGCAAACTATGGTGAGGAGTGTGCCGGACGAGCCTTCTTAAGGGACTCTGCGTAGAAATTACAGGTCATCCAGTCGGTTCTAAGGGGGCTCCAAGCTGTCAGACTGCAAGGCAATCTGGTAGTGAAAATAGTCAGAAATCTGTAGTCTCATTGGTTGATTCCCACACTTCGCTGGAAAGAAGCTTGGCGTGCGTAGCCTCATGAATTACGAAGTACAGGTAGTTCCCATATGACGCGTTGTGAGTTATCATTTGTTGAAAAAATTGTTGCGGTCAGAGGTTGGCCAATTGAATGAGAGAGATTTCTGAAGGGTTTCTAGAACCTCAATCTGCCCTCGACCGTGAGAGAAGAATCTCATTCGTCGTTGCCCATATGTCGGGCCCATGTTATCACTATCACCTTGGAACCTCGTCTCTCCATAATTCGAGGATATGCACCAAGGCTCATTTTCTGAAGATTCATCGTTCAAACAATATAAATATCAGTTTTCTGCCCCTGACAGAATGGGTTTACTCTCCAGCATTTCTCATCAACGGTTCTTTAGCAATACTCTTTTTAGTCCCTTATTCTAGGAGGGTTTTCTTACATTAAATTACCACTCTTTGCTCAGCATGGCATGGCCCTATGATCAACAGTGGGAAGATACCCGTATTTACGCGTATAGCCTAGACGATCCGACCCAGGCCCTCTCTCATCTAACCCCTGATCTCGGCTGGAGCGCATCCACAGAAGTCGAACGGTCCATGCCCAGTGGCATACCTGTGTCCTCCTACCTGTCGCCTCGCACCCGGGTAAATCCCTTGGCAATGCAGGGAACATCCACTGGCGCCATGCAAGCTAGCATGCGCCACCAACAGAACGCCTCAAATCCTGAAATTGCTGCCCAACCAAATCCCTCCCAAGAACCAGCTGTAATCTCTAGGGGACGAAACAACACTCGAAGCCGCGCAAAAAGACGTCAAATCAGCGGGTAGGATCATTCCCCGGATATATACTCCGTATATAAACCGGAGCGATGTTTAACTTACTCCATAGGTCACCTCCGCACAGCCCCGACGATCCGGAGTTCCAATGCAAGTGGGAAGGCTGTGCCTATAGAGGTACTTTCAAACGTGAATCCTCCCTCATTCGCCATATTCGGAAAATACACGTCACCCCTCTCGCTCATCCATGCCTAGTGCAAGGCTGCGACAAGGCTTTTAATCGTGCGGACAACCTAGTTCAACACACACGAAACCACCACTATACTTACTAAGGACGTCTTGGGAGTTGTTCGGGGTTTCCTTTTGTTCATTATCTCAAGATTGTGTTTTTCTCATAAGATGTACTTGACTTTATGTTTTCATTTTCGGTCTTTCTGCTTTCTGTTTCATATATTTAGAAAGGCTGGAATCAATATATGTCGTTTAATAAAACGTAGTACTAGGAAGTATGGTAGGAAAGGCTTGAGGGATATACGTGAACTAATTACACGTTACCATAGCTAGATTTTGCAGTTAGTATCAAGCTTCACCCTAAGCCCCCAAACTGTAGATTGGTTACCCATCGAGCCCCATTTCTGCCTTATTTACCAATTACGCTGTGCCAAGGCGCATGAAGTTGCTAAGCCTTGTTTCATCAGTGTATGAATTATTAAACTAGTGCTACTTAAATTTCCACCATCCATTTTTTAGCGAAATAGAATTCCGAGTTATATTACAAAGGAACGTACGAGTTCCCAATGGAGATTTATAAAAACGTTGATGCCCAAGGCATCAACATCTATTTATAATAGCAAATGATGATAAGGAGTACAACGAGATGAAGTACAAGGTCAAGGCGAATGACTACTTTGTCCCCTGCAAGTAATCACTCTGGTTCGAGGGAAAGAGTCCTCAAAGTGAACTAACTATGTCTGAAAATGGCGCCAGCGGAGAGATTTGCTATTGAGGAACATTATCATGTTTATCGCTGAGAAAACAAAGTGGGAGGAGTATTTACTGTATCCGTGTGTAGAAATGAGGTTGTTCAGAACCTTGGAACCACTTCAGATGGGGTTATACACACCGCGCCACGTGATTTCCGCCACCAGCCACAGCTGCGCCACGGCAAATTATTAAATCCACAACGGATTCGCCTTTGAAAGAAATCGAGAAATTCAGCAGCCGTAATAACACCATCACTTACAACATGTCTCCAACCGGGAAGTGAGTATACACAGTTTCAGTCCTACCAAAAATCCTGACCTAACAAAACTCTCTATTTTTCAGCCGCGCCGACTGGGCTGACGACGAAGATTTCGATGACCCCTCCGTGCTCCCGCCGCAAGAAGTGATCGCGAACAAGGACGGCACCAAGACCGTCATTTCCTACCGCTACAATGATGACAACAAGAAAGTGAAGGTCACCCGCCGAATTAAGACCACTATTGTCCGCGAACACGTCAACCCCCAGGTCGCCGAACGCCGCAAATGGGACAAGTTCGGTCTCGAGAAGGGCCACGCCGCCGGTCCCTCGTTCGATACCACCTCCGTCGGCGAGAACATCATCTTCCGTCCCAGCGTCAACTGGAAGGCCAACGCTAAGGAGGCTGAGAAGGAGGGTGGCGAGAAGGGCAGCATGAAGGACCAGTTGAAGGACAAGAAGGTCAAGTGTCGTATTTGCAGTGGAGAGCATTTCACGGCTCGCTGTCCCTTCAAGGACACTATGGCCCCCGTCGAGGAGGGCACTGCTGCTACTGGTGGCGCCGAGGCAGAGGACGATGCAGGTGGTCTTGGTGCTGGAAAGTCCAGCTACGTTCCTCCTCACATGCGGAAGGGCGGTGCTGGTGGCGGCGAGAAGATGGGTGGTCGTTTCGAGAAGGACGATTTGGCGACTCTCAGAGTTACAAACGTATGTTTTGCCATCATTCTGTTTTCTGCGAGCTCTACGAGCGCCATACTTGTTTATCTTGGTTCGGTACTGACTTTTTTTTTTTTCCAAACAGGTCAGCGAACTGGCAGAGGAGAACGAGTTGCGGGATCTCTTCGAGCGTTTCGGTCGTGTCACCAGAGTCTTCCTTGCACGGGATCGGGAAACCCAGAGAGCCAAGGGCTTTGCTTTCATCAGCTATGCGGATCGTGGCGACGCAGCACTTGCTTGCGAGAAGGTGGATGGCTGTATGTCTTCAATATTTCGTTTCGTGGTTTTCTTTCTACAAGTTCCTCGAGTGCTAACCCGTTTTTCTCTTAGTCGGTTACCGCCACCTTATTCTCCGCGTCGAGTTCGCCAAGCGCACTACTTAAACTTCTTTCTCGGTTCTCTCTTACGACTTTTTGAATGGAACTTTTCCTTCTTCTCAGGCGGGCCTATCTTTGGGCCGAAGCTCTTTTCCTTGTACTGTAGGACCTGGTTGATAATGATGATTCCCAAAAAGACATCCAGCATGTCAGTTACTTGCATTCGTCAGTCTATACAAAAGCAATGGGTTAGAGAAATTTTGAACTTCATACATGATTTTCTTGGTAGTTCCACAAGTCGTACCCTTATCCACGGTATCTGTTGTTCTTTGCGTTTTTGATAATCGTTCCAAGGTTCTTCTCGAAGCAACTGTTCTATAATTGCTTCACAGCTACCATGGAACATTTCAAGCACCCATGGGAAACCAACCACGTACTTGTATGAAGGAACGACGTCCTAGAAGCAGCAACTCTGCTGAGATAATTCACCAACGAGTGTTTCATTTGTTTTTCGACGCGCGGATCAGCATGGAGATGAAGATCGTGTTGGACTGGAATTGCGTTTCAGCATCCACTAGACATGTTAGTGCGGAATTTCCCTAGTAAAGAGCTCAAAGTGACTCAAGCTGCTAACACCAATTGATGATAATAGTGGATGCTAACCCAGGCACGCTAACCCAGGCACCCAAGTCAGTCGACTCCTTGCAAGCTTTCTCTCGCTGCTGACTCCAGCCTTGGCAAATTTCCACATCTTTCCACCCTCCTAGCTAGCACAAATCTGATGATGCCTGGCTCGGCTGACAACAATCCTGCACGCCGTTGACGGCGACACTGTCATCTGGAAGATAAATGTCGCAGGCCGCGACTGGGCCTCGACTGGTCCATTGTTCAAAGTCTCCGGGATTGCTTTGAGACATCAAATTTTCTGCATCTTCGCATGACAGTGCAGATGGCATCGGAAGGAAATTCAGCTCAGATAACCTGGACTTTTTCCTATTGTGTCCTAGCTTCATACTACTGCGTACTAGCTACGCCACTGAATGCCAGATCCCAGGGTCAATCACCAAAGTACCGAAGTACAGATCGATATTAGATCTCAGCAAGTCAAACCCAGACCCAGTCTTGTCGGCAAAGGTGTTGTTAAAATTTCCCGGTAACGGGATTGGGTTGCATAACGTAGCATCGGTGTTTCTTTTAGGAAAGAGACTTGAATCGGCGGGAAAGCTTACCTACGGGTCCGGCTTTTCGCCGAATGCTCCCCTACTAGAAACAAGACGGCCAACGTAGACAGTGGCGGAGAGGACCGAAATGTTCCCTGTAGGATTGGCCCTAGCTCCCTCAGAAACTCTCACCAGCCCAGCGTGTTCTAGCATTCCACTCCGCCACGGCAGCATCCAGTATGACAACCACAACACATATGAAGAGGCGTTCGTGACGTTCCGAAGTCTTAGTGACATTGCAGGGAATTTCGGCGCCAAACAACGTAATCCACTTGTCATTGGTTTGAGGAGTTCGACCAGAAGGGCAGTTCTTCACTGAGAGCGTTTCGGCCGGTGAGCGAGCTCTTTATTGGCTGTTCCTCCGTGCTACATCGGCACAGCTTAGGGTTGGCTGGGCTACTCCCAGGATGGTTGTCAAAGGCTGGTAAGAATTGCCGTGGGGAAGCAAAAAAAAAAAACGGTTGAATGAGTTGCTGGATGATGAAAGGAGTCTTCAACTAGTCTGCATCCAACGCCATGCAAAGCATATTTCCTCGCCTGACAAGCTTCATATCCAGAATTTTAAAGGGCGATGAGCTAATGGCACATACTCCGTTCTATTGTGATCCTTGTTTGGTTGGTGCTTTGTCTTTCCATCCGTGCCGACAGGGTCGGATACTTTAGACGTCGATGGAACTTTTTGCCCGGGAGCTTCGTGGTCGTGATACGATCTGTGCTGACGGGCTGTAGATACAGAGGGATCAAGGTTTATGATCACAGGGTGGGGAAACCGCCAATGATCATCCTGTCTCGGGGCAAACTCTTGCCTTCGCTGACAAGGGAAGTTGAGGGCGAAAGGATCTTTTCAATTTCCCACAGCAAGACATCTAGCCCATTGTAGTAGGCTACCAGTACCCAGCTTTACTGTCACTGAAAGTAACCATCAATCTCGGAAGAAGTGATACACAGGTAACCCATCACAGAACCTTGTGTCCAGACGACCCAATGCCAGGAATTGTGGAGCCATAGAGGCCTGAACTGTTTAACCTCCATGGTTGAAAGGGCAGGGCGAAAATTCGGTTCAAAATGGTACCATTGCCGCTGAATGGATGTGTTAGCTCGATGTGGTATAAGTTTGGAGATGGTACACGATATTGTTACTAAGTAGAATTAGGTAAATCAACTCTTTGCCCGGTCAAGGCCGGTGGATGTCTGGGATGGAAGGGAAACCCTGGAGGCCTCGGCCGTTGGGAAAGTAAAACTTTAATCTGTCTCAGTCAAAGGCAGCAAAAAAGCTATTGTCTTCGGATATGAGGATTGGCCGACTCTTTCCTTACTTGGTAATCTTTCCCCAGAAATATCTCCCCGGGCATGCGTGGATTGAAACTCTAGACCCAATCGACCAGGATTAGCGCATTGAACATGGTATATGGGTCCACCAGGCGTGTCGCATCCTCAGATCCTGGAGCAACGAGCATATGGGGCTGAGGCAGCAAGACAAGGGGGATAACGGTCTAGAATGACACTCTAGATCTGTACCCAGGTTAGATTGTCGGCCAATGGCTATTTTTTGGGGGCTTTTAAATTTTCTGTTGTAAAAATGGTAAATACTCCAATAACACGGTTAAGTCAGCAATCCCGACTCCGGGTTGTGGTTATAGCTCAACCTCTACCGTTGCCTAGTCGGCTGAGCTGTAGCTTTTCGCCCCCCCTGTCCAAAGATCGAACACCCGAATGTAACCAGCAATTAAATGCATGGCATTGGCTACGGGCTTTGCTATTGACCTGCAGCGAAAAATTGTTGCACGGGACTATAAATTCTTTTTTCTTTTTCTTTTTTTTTTTTCTTTTTGGGGAAGATGTCAACCATGGGGAAAACAGACTCGGTAGATGGCACGTGCCCAAAACAGAGACAGTGTAAAGGCCCTAGGGCAGATCGGGCTGAGACAGTTGCAACGTCAAACTTTTCAGAGTTTTCCAGAGTCAAGGGTTCTGGGGCTAATCCATGTCGATAAAATCTGTAGATGGGTTCATGCATTTCCCTAAAAGTCAAATTATTATTGGCATTGGTTTCGAGGTACCTGCAGTGAGCCTAGATATACCCACATATCGGACAATTTCTGAGCCCTCGTTTCTCTTGTATCCCATCTACTCGGTAGTGTTGTAATCCCTGTCTGAGTAAGTAGGATTGATATATCGAAAAGTGACATGTGGAGAGTTCACAGGTAAGTGGGCTGATGGATCTGATAGTGTCTTTCTAGTTGCATTATTAGTTGCATGATAAAATGATAAAATGATAAAAAAATGATTTGAAATGATTTGAGATGATTTGATTTCAATTAAAGTTGTTCTAAGATCCCAATATTTCCTAATATGAAGTGAAGGTCTGTAAATTTAGTGAACATTTGAAGATATATATCCGTACTCCACCTACGGCTTTATTAGTAGGCTCCGAGATTACCAGTGTACTTACCAGTGTATTTACCAGTGTACATTGTACATAGTCTATCCATCAATTAACTATTCCCACTAGATGTACCTGGTACATGTCCCTAATACCTGTAAATTTCCTGTATCCAGTTCACCGCCCCCCTGCACGTGTCAATCCCCATGACCGTCATCCGGGAAGGGGCTGATCCCCGAGAGTCAAAAAGAGATGTCATCACTAGACACGCTTGTCACCCTCCTTTAATTTTTGACTTTATGATTCGATGTTATCATTGATCAGTACTTTTTTTTACCCTGATACAGTTAATCGATTCTGCACCTAGTACCGATTTTGGTACGAGCACGGTCATTGCGTGTGGCCCTGTGGGGACAAATAGCTGCACAACATACCCGCCATAACCATTTGAGGAAAACGAAACTACGGCATACCCAGCCAATCATCAGCTTGCGGGTGCTTTTTTTACTGCACCTTGCCATTTCACCCAGCCTCCTGCGGGATGGCCGATCTTTCTAGCCACTAATGCGGTTCTGTCGACACGATCAGTATCCACTGAAGGCCAGGATCTTTTTGAATCCACGACTCCCCTTGATATTTCCTTGGGACGGAACAGTGGGACTAGTGCCGGTACGGTTCTGGAAAAGGCTCCCGGGTACGGACCGCAATCATTGTATACCCCGCTAGACTGCTTTAGCCTCTATAGTGGAGACTGGAGACGCCCCCCCCTCGTCCCCCATCTGCAGTTAGGGCACCATTACGGTTTCGCACCAGAAGAAAAGTCGGGCTTACCAAAGCTTTGTTGGTTCTCTTTCGGAGTGGGGTGGATCTAGTTGGGTGCATCATCTCGAACATGCTATTTTTATTGCTCTGCCGGGTCGGGTCGGTTCTGTCGGTGTGAACATCGCCAGCAGGGACAATGCAACATACTGAATGGAACTTGTCGATCGCATGATCGATCCTTTATTTTCTTCATGTAAGAACTGCCACTCATGCCTCGAGCCTCCTACGGCTTAGAGCATCAAACTGGAAAATGAATCTGGGAATTACTTGATAGACCAACAAAAAATTATGGAATTCAGTAAGATTGTCTACCCGATTTGGTCATTTTTCATATTTAATTCACCCGTTTCGGTCATTGGTCTGTGGTCTCCCCCCCCCCCCAGTCTGATACATCAACCACCTCTACCATGGGTCTGCATAGGTACATATCCTGGGGGTCGATCATCTCCTCTATCCTTTCTAGTTTCATCTTATTTCGCTCTCCTGCAGCGACCCGTCTGTCGGGTATTCGCACTAGGACATCTGATCCCATCGGGAATTATCTGTAATGGAAAACACATACAACGTGTACGTACCGTGGCCTTACCCATCACGGTCCGTGCAGCCTGCCTCAGGTCCTTCTAGCACGCAACATGGGGTGTTCTTCCCAATGCCGTCCTCCTTGAACAATCAAAACTATCTGAGGCCGGTGGTGATTTGATACTACTCTCTTTCCTATGGAGATATACTGGGCCACTAGACTATTTGCGCTTGACTCGGACAACCAAAATTCCAAATTCAGAACTTCCAAATACAAATCATTGAGAATAAGAAAAAGAAAATACGTCACGTTTTCTCTTTTTTTTTTCCTCAAGGAGTCTATACCTAGATATACACAGAATATGAAAATGATAATCCGGATCTCTTTCGCCGATTATGGTATTATGGTTGGACCCCTATGCAAACCCACTGCCACTCATTGGAGCCTTGCCGAATACAACGTATTTCACTGTCCCTGGCAGATCCCAACTCGTGGTTTCGACCGCCTATCGGCTAGACCATCACTGGTGAGCGCCCCGTGGGAGTCTGACTAGGGTAGACTAATGATCCTTCAAGGGGTAACAATCCCGAGAACGGCTTTAAACAATAATATAGACCGGAATCATTCATTATGTAGGTCTTAATTGTAACCTTTTCTCTTTATTTCCGAGGACCATAAAACTACGTACCACATCTGGTCTTAACACCTCATATCCTCCATTTATCAGGTAAGCCACCGATCTCCTTCCTGCAACCTGTCAAAGGAAATGATTCCCTTGGGATCTACTATGCTTTGACCATGCTTCTTTCTTAAATACCAAGCTAGGGTTGCAGAATTGGAAGCATTCTTCTTTCTGCAATACCTGCAAGATACTTATGCCGGGGACAAGAGCTTTCTATTTGCTCACCCTCTAGGCCTGTCACACTAGATTACACCAGTTGTCTTTTTCTTTCCTCTTCTGGAGATCTCCTTTTTTTGGATTTTTTTTTTTTTTTTTTTGGATTTTTATTATTTTATTTCTTTTGATTATTTTATTTTATTTCATTTTATTTCATATTACCCCTCCATTAACTGTGATTGCTGCGATTTCCGTGATTGTTATTATTGTTATTATTGTTATTTTCTGTTATTTTCGGTGTTTTTTGGGATTTTTTGGTTGATTTTTGGCACATTCTTTTCTCCCCAATCTTCTTTCTTCATACCCACCCCCCTCATCTTAGATCGTGGGTTTGCAAAGAACATAGATTCTGGCCCGATCTATTCCAACACTTTTCCCTTGTACTTTTGTACCTATGACTTAGGTTGATGCGAGATTTCCCAATTAGGAAGTCATGTCTATAAATCGGTGACGCATTCCTTTGGCTCGGACATCCATCTACTTCTTGTCAACGCCTGTCCAAAAGGGCACCGTTTACGCACAGTTTTACACATTGTTTTACTGAGAATACTACATATGTATTACTCTTCACCCTCATCTTTATAACCCTGGAACCCTTTCCTATCTTCATTTAT